GCCCCCAACAATCTGGGTCCTCATTTTACCCACCTCGGAAGGATGGAAGGCTGAGTCAACCCTGAGCCGGTGAGATTTGAACCGCTGAATCCGTACGCTTAATATAAAAACAGAACTAAAAATGATATACAGTCTAAATTTGGGGCATCAAATTCTCATGAAATATTTAAGTATATGCATAACCCATAAAAATATTTTATTTTGAATATACATTGTCCAAATATATAGTATTTGTGTATAATATTAGCCATACATAACCATTCAAAATTGTGAACATCTAAATTTTAATTTTCGTGCATTCCTAGCTCTGCATTAATTGCAGACTTGGATAGTAGTTGTATACAAAACTGTTTTGGGAATGAAACATTCTGAAATTTCCCAGTTCATTTTCTCTGGGAGCTCACCACTTTTGCTATTCTGGATGGAAAATAGAATGGCTTATCCCTGACCATTGGAAGGTTTCGCATGTCCATTTCAGATAGCTTTGTTAAGTAGTAATGCAAGTATAAAATATTACAGGTCTAGAATATATTTTTCTAATGTTTTCATGATTGTTGCTTATATTTCAGAGATTCAATGCACTGTTTTTTTAATTAAGAAAGACCACTTTTGGAGTTCATATCCAGCCTTCTAGATTTTGTTGATTTTAAACAGGCTGGATTGTTTGGTGGAGCAGGATATATTCCGTTTTTATCTTGCAAGTTTTAATTTTGTATTGTTAATTAGCATATGGTTATTGTTACCTATCAATTGTCTCTTGACAGTGGAGAATATACATCTACTATAGTAGCCTTGTATGGTTACATAAAGTTTTATATTGGCAGAAAATGAAATAAATCATCAAGCTTGTGTCTAAAAAAATATAACCTGTTAAAAAACTTTCCTCTCTAATAGTTCCCATGGATTTTGATATTAGTTCACCTCTGACCTATGGAACACCTAGTTCTAAAGTGGAAGGAACACCAAAAAGTGGTGCACGAGGGACTCCAATTCGACAACGGGCTGATCTTGGCTCTGTCCGTAAAAACAGGCAGGTGGATCTGCATCCTGATACGGTAGGTTTTTTTTCATATGCCCTGTTTCCCCAAAAATTAAGACCTCCTCGGATAATAAGCCCAATTGGGCTTTTGAGTGCATGCGCTAAAATAAGCCCTCCCTCGAAAATAAGCTCTCCCCCAAAAATATTGCAACATAACAACAGCCATGAGGTGACCACACATCCTGCACCTCAAAAGTAATAAGACCCCCCAAAATAAGGCCAAGTGCTTAATTCGAGGGTCAAATGATAATAAGATCCTGTCTTATTTTGGGGGGAACACAGTATTTCAGGAGATACACATGTCAACTCTATGTAGTAAAAAAGGGTTGAACTGAGTAGCATTCTCTTGGATAAATAAATATAAAATTTTGTCCTTTTGATTTATACTGGTATTAATAAGTTCCTGTTTTACTTAGCCTGCACCAGGTGATGCGATAGGCAGTGAACAACATCCTGATGGACAAAGGCTTGTGATTTGGGGAACAGATGTCAATGTAGCCTCATGTAAAGAAAGGTTCCAGGTAAGTGGTTGCATTTTATAATTTGATCTGAAATAGCGTTAACAGACATGAAGTCTAAACATGTAGTATGCATGAAAATCTTTGTGTTGAATGCTTCTGGGTATTTATATTTAATTAGTATGCTTTCTTGTGGTTACATACAATTGATAGCACTTGTGAAGATTCATTTGGGTTGAGGACCATCTCAGGATATTTCATCTTACCGGGTTTTTTTTGGATAAGCCTAAACACTTAATCCATATCCTCTTGTTTTAAAATATTCAGAGATTTCTTCAGCGTTTTATTGACCCAACAGCGAAGGAAGAAGAAAACATTGGTTTGGACCTCAATGAACCTTTATACATGCAGCGACTAGAAGAGGTATAATAGAGGAGGTATAATTGTTATTTAAATTTGGCTTGTGTTTGAAGGCTTACATGTTAATTGTAAAACTTTTTTCATCTTGCAGATAAACTTAATTGTGGAACCATTTCTGAATCT